TTTCTGTGCTGGGAATTTGCCCAGCACGAACTGCTGGACCACAGTGGCCACGTGTGAAGCAGCTTTTACAGCATTGAGAGCAGAGTCATTTGGAGAAGTGTTGACTTCTGCTGAACTTTGAGCTGAGTGCAGTCGGGGAGGAAGCAGAATGAAATGGTTTGGTGGTTTGTGAGTGTTCAGTGCTTATTCCCCCTAACACAGGAATAAATGAAGGTGTCTGTGATGTGGAGAGGGGATTTTGGGAGTGCAGGGAGGGGACAGGCACTGCTAAACCTCGGCAGTCAAAGCACTGGCCATGGAGCTGATGAATATCTGGCATTTTCTTGAAATAATTATTAACTTGGATGTGCCAGGAGCTGTCAAGAACTTAGTGTACTGTTGGATACAGGAGTCACATATGGCAGAGGGATGGTACCTGCTCTAATGACAAAGAGAAGGTAAAAATAAATCCAGCTTTATTTTACAGAGATCTGAGCAGATAAAAGTTTATGACCTGCTCTTGACAACACAGGAAATGTTGGTAGAGTTAAATCCTGAACTAAGCTCTTCTCAGTCTCTGTGAAGCTGCTGTTTCATTCTTATTTTGTTTTTCTGTTCTCCTGTTCCTGTTTCTGCCTATTGGAGAATATATTAGTGACTGGAACTGCTCATTTTTAATGCAGGTGTGGTTCTTTAATGCTGGCCATTGTTTTTCCAAGCTGTGGTTTGCATGTGTGTACCTGTACACCAGATAACATCCCACAAATCTGAACTCTTACTGATTTACAAGAAAAAAAATCTTCTGCTCTGATGATAAATAATTCAAAGCTCCTTTTAAGATCCAGTAGTAGGGAGGCCAGTAGTAAGGAGCTTCTTGACCTAGTTCCAATAGTAGGAGTATTGTGTGTATGGATACACCCCATTGCCTCATTCTGTGCCCTTTCCTTTTCTGAGGTGTGAACTGCTTTCAGAAGAACTTCAGGAACAAAATCTGTGTGAAATGAATAGCAGAACTTTTATAGAATCATGGAATAGTTTGGGTAGAAAGGACCTTAAAGCCCATCCAGTGCCACCCCTTGCCGTGGGCAAGGACACCTTCCACTATCCCAGATTACTCCAAAGTTCTGTCCAGCCTGGCCTTGGACACTTCCAAGGATCCAGGGGCAGCCACAGCTTCACTGGACAACCTGTGCCAGGACCTCAGCACTCTCACTGAGAAGACATATTTCCTAATATCTAATTTAAACCTCCTCTTGGCCGGTTTGAAATCATTCCCCCTCGTCCTGTTGCTACATGCTCTTGGAAAAAGTCCCTCTCCATCTTTCTTGGAAGTATCAGAACGAGTGCTGTGTGTTTTCCTCTCCTTTAAATCCTGGTTTGGGCATATTCCCACCTCCATTGGGGTTGCCCTTTGGACAGTTCCTCAGTTCCAGTGGCCATCCTTGGGCACACACACTCGGACACCCAGCAGAAGTTTCATTTCTCCTGCTTGGCATGCTTCTCCTTGGAGTTGCAGGCTGTCCCTGCTCTGTTCCGGGGGAACAGCAGGAGTGGCTGCTGTTGTCCAGTGCTGCAGCCAAGGACAAGTCCTGGCTTTGGCTGAGCTCCTCTCCAAGGCTCCTTCTGGTTTGCTGCTCCTGCTGGAACTCGTCTGAGAGGGAGGATCGTGGATGCTCTTGCCTTACGTGGCCTTTTCTGTGTTAGAAAGGACATAATGTGTTTTCTTCTTAGCTTTTCAGACATGTTTTCAAGTAGGCATTTTCCACCTGTGCCAGTCTTGGCACTGTTGGCACTTGCTGCTGTGCCCTGCCAGGCTGCTCATAGGCAGTGAGAGCTGTTTAATTCCAGCATGGAGTTTAACCTTGAAGGCTGCTTTTCAGCAGGTTTCTTTGATCAAAGCTGGAGTAAGTAGAGCTCCAAGATGCAGCTTGAGGCTCTTTTCAACAGACTGTTCAGCTCATGCTTGAAATAAATCCCTTTTCTGGGCAGATGGAGGAGCTGACCAGGTTGGAGTGACCTGTGCTGCTTGCAGAATTTATGGTTTGATGATGATGCAGATAAATCATCTTCTGCCTGCTTGAGGCAGGCAGTGTGCTCCCCCCTGCCCTGCAGGCCTGGGGTGTTTGTTCAGCTCCTTCTTTGAGGGCAGCTTCACCCAGGGGCTCTCAGGAGTGCAAGAGCACCCAGGTACCCATGCCCAGGCTCTTGGGGCTGGTGGCAGAGGGCTTCCCTGTGCTCCCAGTTAAACCAGCAAGTCCAGAATCCCAAATCACCGAGGTTGGAAAAGCCCTTCGGGACCACTGAGTCCAACCTGTGCCTGATCCCCACTTTGTCACCCAGTCCAGAGCACTGGGTGCCACATCCAGATGTTCCTTGGACGCCTCCAGATATGCAGACTCCACCACCTCCCTGGGCAGCCCCTTCCAACCCTTTCAGTGAAGATAAAAATGCCCAGAAAGAGGTACCCAGGGTCCAAGCTGCATTTCTCACCAAATTTTAGGCCTGACTTTGACTTCCCCTAAGCATACTTCAGTTGACTTGTGGTATGTGGATAGTAAATGGAGTGTTTCTGAATTTTTTGTTGTTTGCTGCTTTCTTCCTCTTTGAAGTGAAAAAATATATGAACAAAAGGTTTTGTTGCAGTCCAGTTGGATGTGCTTTTGTTTCTGAAGTCTCCCTGGATTTTGTTTTTAGCCAACTTTTGTTTCTGCTCCTTGTGAGTGCTGCTATTAAGGTGGATCATGCTGTGAACTGAGATGAACCCGTGCAGAAACGGCCACTTCTTGCATTAGTGCGTGGTTTGTGCTGATGGCATCTCTGGCCAGGGAAAGCTTTTCAGAAATGGCTGCATTTCTGTGAAATGCAGCTTTTAATCCCAGATTGTTTACGTGGAGGGCAACTAATGAGTCAATAGACTAAAGCAGAGTGGGAACCTTTCTTCCTGTTGGTGGAATGTGCTAAGCTCCATTTAAAAATTTTCCATCCTTCTGAAGGATACGTGGACTCTGCTTCAATTCTTTGAACTCCAGAGGATTTCTACCTGTAACTTCCATGTGAGAATTAGGAGGTGATTATTCTAGATAGTCATAATCCACTCCATGGAATTTATTCCTATTTATTCGTATGGATAAGTAGCAGTGATTTTAGAGGAGTGTAAGTGTTGAGGAGCTGGAATGGAGCACAGGCTCCCGATGCCTGTGATCATTTTACAGATTTGTTCAGTTTCTGTGGCTGCAAAAGACATTTTGTTCCTTTGACGTTATCCATCAGACCAGAAGTACGGGATGTCAGCAGAGGAGGAGGCGCTGGAGAGGTTTGCTCCTTACACAATCCCTGTTTTCCTGGGCACTTCAGTCACACGTTCAATTTTCATTATCTTCTCCCATTGTCTAGGCTGAAGATGTGTTGATGTAATTTCTTGCAGTGCACTCGTTGGAGCAGAGGAAAGCTTTCTTGATGTCATTATTATTATTATGATTATTATGAAAAAGGCTTATTCTGTTACTGCTGGTCTGGTGGTCAGTGGGAACGGGATGGTGGAGGGGGAGCTGTGGGCTCTGGGAACTTGTGCCAGGCTTGTTCATCTCCTCTGGGTCCTCTGTAAGCACAGAGTGAAGAGGGGAAGGTCTGGTTGGCAAAATACTTGGGTTGGATTTTAGGGAGAACTTGTTCCCTGTGAGGGTGGTGATTCCCTGGCACAGAGAAGCTGTGGCTGTCCCATCCCTGGAATTGTCCAAGACCAGGTTGGATGATGCTTGGAGCAGCCTGGGATAGTGGAAGGTGTCCCAGCCCATGGCAGGGACAAGGGAACAAGGTATTCTTTAAGATCCCTTCCAATCCAAACCATTCTGTGATTCCACAGTCTCTTATTNTTACTGCTCCCTCTTCATTTAAAATCAGTATTTTGTTTAGATTGTTAAAATACACAGAGGGCAGACCCAGTTCTTAATGAACAAATAAACAGCAAGTTCGTCACTGAATAATTTATAATCTGAAACCTGATTAACAGTGTTCAGCCCTCCCAGTTCTTGTCTGACTTGATGTTGTGGTTGGCCTCCAGAGCTCTCACACTGTTCAGAGATCCGTGTTCCATATGGGACTTGGAGATACACAGAAAAGTATTTATAGGATATTTTCCTACATGGGAGTTTAGGGCCTTCCAGCAAAGTCCTTGGCTTTATATATATATATATATTATATAAATAAAACATTATTTATTATATTTTTTCTGGTCAAGTCATTCAGACTTCGTGCCTCAGGTCCTCCTCTGAGGAGGAGTGTGGATACTTTCCTCCCTTCATGGAGATGTTTGTCAGTATTTGGGAGGCTTCTCAGAATTTTAATGATGAGGTCCTTGTGAGCACACCAGAGGGGACATCCCTGAGGTCAGCAAGGCTTAGCTGCTCAGTCTTGCTACTGCAGAAATATGAGTGATATTTAATGGCCTTGTTTAGAGCATGAGTACTTTGTTCAAGGTTATTTTTATAATAATAAATAGTATAATTATAATAATAAGTAGTATAATTATAGTGATAAATAGCATGTATGGAAACGATCGATTTTAAAATTGGAAACAGAGAAAGTCTGGTGGAATTTTGACTCCATACTGTGACAATAGAGCTGCTTTACCAAGGCCCAGCACTGCTGGCCTTCATTGATTTTAAGATTTATATTCTTGTATTGTTGCCCGTATGAAATTTTTATGGGCATTATATTACAATGAATATTGAGGTTACTTGACAAATAAAGGAAATCTTTGTTAATGTGGTTTAAGTGAGTGATTGTGACATTATAAATTAGGCAAAGTAGATGTTAAGTGCACTGCAGCCAAGCAGGGCCTAATGGAGCTGCTGTTGGCTCCTTGTGTGGCTGATCCCAGCTCGGGGTGACTTGTGCAGTTATTTTACTGTGCAAGCTAAAGCTGAGACAGGAATAAAGTGGTGACCAGGCTGTCCCCTGGGAAGTGGCAATTTCAAGTAACCCTGCTTTTTCTTTTTTTTCCTCTTTTTTTTTTCTTCCAGTATCCGCAGTGTTATGCAGAAATACCTCGAGGAAAGGGGTGAATTAACCTTCGACAAGATCTTTCATCAGAAAATTGGTAAGTCATGTCTCAATAAAATGCTATTTGTGTAGATATTTTCAAGATCTGTTTGGTTTTTACATTTTTCTGTGGTGCCTGCTGAGAAGTCAGTGCTGTAGATTTTCTGAAGGACACTGGAGGGTGGACAGGACTTAGTGAAACAAAGGTCTTCAAGAAGATGAAATGCTGTGAAAGGGAAGAAGACCAAGCAAGGCAATCTGTCAACTTCAGGTTCTGGAAAACTACAGGGAAAATAATTAAATTATTTGGAAACATCGAGGAGAAAATGATATTACTTGGTATGGGCTTGTCAACAATGTAATGTGTCACATCAGTTAAACTTTTTTTTTTCTTTGCAGAGGTAATGAGCCTGTTGATAAGGGAGCAGAGAAAAGATCCCAGATGTGTTGTCTTGACCCTGTGTTGTGAGCAAAACCAGCACAACACAGGGTGAATCTGCTGTTTGCAGGGGGTGAAACTGCTGGGAAAATAGAATTGTGGAGCAGTTAATCAGTATTCCATGGAAAGGTGGATCCAGGAAGTGGGAACATCAGAGATCAGTGTTCAGTTAATTGAATGCTGCAGAGAAGAGCCTCTGTGCTCTGCTGTGACACACCGAGGACAAGGACAAAAACCCCATAAAGCAGGAGAGGGGGGAAATGCAGTGCTCCAAGGGATATCCAGCAGTGTCCTGCCTCTCCACCTGTGCCAGAGCAATCACACAGCCACAGCCTGGGGACCCTGGAGCAGGGACTTGGCTGTGACAGCCAGCCCTGGGCTGCCTTGGCTCAGCTGGATCACACGACTAAATATAAAATGAGTGTTGTAGCCAGTGAGGCATGTGAAATAATCCTCTTCTGGCAGAATGTTGTGTCCATCCTGGCAGTGGATTAAAAAAATATACATGGACCTGCTGGGGAGAGTCCAGGAAAGAGCAGTGGGAACGAGCACAGACCTTGCTGAGCAGTCTGTTAAATCTGACCTACAGGGAAGTATTGAAATAGGGTGTGATGTGGGCAGTGGAAGGGAGAAGTGAGGTTGAACATGATTCAAAACCAGAAAGGCTGTTGCAGAAATGATGAGTTGAGTCCATTTTCCAGAGTTTTAATGTGTCAATGAAAAAAAAAAAAAATCTGGATATGAATAAAATTTAAAATTTTAGTGTAGTAATAATAGTGGTAATAAAGCAGGGAGTGGATTTCGTGAGAGGTTTTTGGGATCTTTGTCCAGCCCATTTCAGGAGTGAGTTGGCTGGGATAGCACAGCTGCTTGGAAAATGGGCAATTGGCTGGGAAATCTTGAGGAGGTCAGTGGTTTTATTCCTGTCTGAAATGAAACTTTGTAGTGAACAAAGTGCCTGGTTTCCCAGGAAAAGTGATGCAGTGGAGGCATCTTTGGGCTGGTTGAATTTTCACTGGCCTCCCTTCTGGCTGGAGCAGAAATACCCCAAAACCTTCCTGTGTGCCTGGCAGTGTGCAGCTCACTGGAGTGCGAGTTTTTTTAGGTATTGCCAGATTAAAATAATCAATGTTCCTGTGTCTCAGAGTGTCATTAATGGGTCTCAGAGCCATTGGAAGTCTTGGGGAGCTTTTCAGTGTTTTAACAATTGGAGTATGGTCTGTACTTGTGCCTAAAACTATTGACTTTTTATTGTGGCCAAAACTTTTGCCATGTAAATGCACAGATACCTTGTTTACTTGTACTGACACCTCAGTGTGTGCTTCAGCTCCGATGCCTGTGCTGAATCATTAATATTTTGCTGTAGCCTGGCAGTTGCAAAATAAGCGGAATTTTAAGCAACCAAACACAGCCTGACTTCAACTGAGTCTCTTTGGGGGCAGTGAAATGAAGAAGTCCTTTTTTTTTTTTTTTTTTTTTTTCTCTCTATAAAAAGAGAAGTCAAACAGACCATCCTCTATGTAATGGATATTTCTATTTATGTAATTGAATACTTTTCATTACCTGTTACAGTGAGGACTGCTGCAGTTATTTTGATAAGTTACAGCAATTACACTTAGGTAACTGGAACCTTGGAAGGATTAGATCTTTCTCTTTTTTTCCCCATGTTGGTAGTAGCCATTAAACCTGGAATTTTAGAGCCAGTTTCATTAACATTTTAGTTTCTATGCACAGAGGAGAGGTTTCCTCATCCTCTCCCCGGGTACAGTCAGAGCAGGACTTGCCCCTGGATTACCTAGAAATGAGGAGCAGTTCTGTGACTGCTGTGCAGGAGTTTCAGTTAATTCTGAAGCTGAAATAGGATTTAGAATGGAATTAAAAAAAAATAAAAAATTAAAGCTAAACACGACCGTTTTTAACAGCAGACTTTGCAGCACGCTGGAAAATACGGTATTTCCTTACTGTGGTTGTTCATTTAAATTTGATTGCGTTTTCTAGCCTGTTCTTTGCCACTCAATTAGCTCTGTTTCCAGACATTAGCATAATTGCTTGTGGTAAAGTACCTGCAGTTTAGGCAAGCGTTATGCAAAAGGCTGTGAGAAGAAGTATGGGGAGGTAATTAAAACTCTAATCACCTTTTTGTTCTCCTGGTTATCTCTTTGTCTGGGGGGGATGCGGTGAGACCACAGGTGGGGCAGGTCCTGGGTGGGGGGACCCAGGGGAGGCTCCTCCTGCTCCCAGGAGTCTCCTGAGCCTGGATTTCCAGAAATCCTGCTGGATCATCCCTGTTTTTCCCTCAGCTGAGGAGCCATCCAGCAGTCCCTGCTCTATCCTTACACACCGACTATAAAACAGCACCGAGTTTTTCCTTGGTAACTGCTCTAGATGAGAACTATTTTATTTTTATTTTTTTTTTTCCTCCAGACCTAATTTATTCCTCACAGCTCCAGGTCACTGTTTTTGTTGGTTTTTGTCTGTTTTTCAGTATTCTTTTAAATGTAAACCCAGGCTTTGATCAGCTGTCTGATATAAGGGCTCTGATGTCAGTGTGGAGTCGTTCCTGTGGATGTTGCCCTATGAATGTGTCTAATTATGGTGCTGGTCTCATCATCTGCAAGTGTTTATTCTTAGTGAGCCCTAAAAATCATTTTAGGGTCAGTGCTTTCCTGGTCCCACTGCCAAAGGTTGGCCCAAATTCCTTTCCTGCCAGGTGTGCAACTGCAGGGAGTCCCAGGGACAGCTCTGGCTTGGAAACCAAAACCTTTATGATCAGGATAAGAGCAGGAAGCTCATCAGGGATGAAAATGGCCCGGAGGCTCCACCAGATTTGCACAAACAAGCTGCACTCATGCCTTGGTGCTGGCACTGCTGTTTGCCCCCTGAGTGATGCTCCAGAACGATCTCCAGCTCTCTAAGAATGTCCTGGTGAGTCAGAGGACATGGAGCTGACAGAAGCACCCAGAAGATCGCTCTGGCAGCCCAGCCCAGCCGGCTGTTCCTTCATGAGCTGCTTCCTCCACAGCAGAAGCCTCTTGGGGAAGTACAGCCTGTCTCAAAGCCGAGTGCGTAACCACCTTAGCTGCTTTTCTTTTACCACATCCTGTTTGCTACAACACCAGATTATGAGTTTTCTTTAGAAAAAAAAAAAAAAAGAGGGGTTTTGAGAGGTTTCAGAAGTGTTCAAATCTGGGTTGGGCAGGGCTAGGAGCAGCCTGGGCTGGTGGAAGGTGTCCCTGCCTGTGGCAGGGGATGGAATGAGATGGGCTCTAAGGTCCCTTCAAACAAAACCATTCTATAACTCTGATATCCCAATATTCATAATTTTCACTTGGAATCCACTCTGCTTCACAACTGTGCTGAAATTGCACGTGGAGTCTTCACTGTGTTCCCTTGCCCTGTTTGGTGGGGACACTTGGAGAGACCCCAAATGTCTTTGGGCATGTGGGAAATGAGAAAATCAAAGTCTACTGCAGCCAAGGCTTCCAAGGGAATCTATGAGATCATAATATTGCTTTAGACCAGGATTATCCTGGTTATTAAATACTTTGGAGCAAACTTGCTGCCAGTTATGGTTCAGTGATTCTCATGTGTGACTCTGGGCTTTCAGACAAACTGCAAGGCAGGGAATGAAGCTGGGTTAGAAATCCTGGGATGGGATGTTAAAGCATCCTACAGCTCCATACCTGGCTTAGGTTCAGCCTTGGTTTGACTGCTGGAGACCCTTGTGAAGGCACACAGGCTGTTCTCATCTCCTGAAGCTGGTGGGACGTGGCAGTTCCTTCACACCCATCTCAGTTTCTCATCTCTTGCAGAGCCGTTGGGTCTGGCTCTGGGGGAAGGATGAGAACAGGACATATTTTAGCTGTTTCAGCAGCTGCTCTTGCTGCAGTGTAGGTTTTTCACCTTGCCTAGGAAGTAACTTGAATTTTTTTTTCCCCCCTGAAGGTGGCTCAGTTTTATTTTCATGAAATAGAACTAATTAAAACAACTTGCAGTTGACGTAAGAAGTTACAAACCTTCTTTTTTTCCTTATTTACCGTGCACTTTCGCAGAGTGAGGGATGATCTTTCTGGGGTGATTCATTCCACTGTCTTCCATATCCTCCTCAACCAGCTCCAAGCTGGAGGTTTTCCCAGTGGGGGGGAAGCATTTTGCCATCTGCATCGGGGCTGGTTCCAACCCACGGGGGCTTGTGGGGGCTCTCAGCCCCTTCCTTGCTCCCCTTTTCCTGATCCAGCTCAGCGTGGATCATTTTCCTTCTGTAGCTCCTCAGCTGAGCTTCCAGAGCATTTGGTCTCTTTTTTAGCTCCTTCTGCACAGGGATTTTTGTGCCTGCCCTCCACAGTCTGAGGGAAATGTTCTCAAACTGACCCTGCTGGCTGCTGTTTCCTCCTGCTTGGTCAGGGACAACATTCTGTTAAAAAAAACCCCAACCAAAACTAGGATGAGAACAGCTGCAGCAGGTTTTTTGGTTTTTTTTTGGAGGGGGCATTTTGATGCCAGCAACAGAATTGTGCTTTCTGTTGGTTCTTTCTCTAGTTATGGACTCATATTTCATTATTTCAGAGCTTTGGTGCTAATCATTAGATAGGAGTTAAAATCTGTTGAGAAAAACATTC